AACCAATAGTTTTATGGGATAAAACTATATATGAAGCCATAACAATACTCGGATGATAAGCTCGCTTCCTTTTATTTTAAAAGATAGGAATTGAATCTATGATTGAATTAATTGAATGATTGGCTTTTAATCGAAATCGCGGCATTCATCCTCCTCCTCCCTTTCCCCCCTCCTTCGCCTCTAATTCTATCTTCTTTACCTACTACTCATTATATTTATATTTCTCGCCACGCTTAAAAATTTCTTTAATTCAATTCAGTTTAAGAACAGTAGCTATTTTGTTTTTGCAGCCATAAGCAAATGCGAACTTTTTAATTTTTTTTATGGACTGTTTTTGTTTCTAGGGACGTTCACCATTTCTGATCAACCAGCTCCGCTGATTTGCCAGGCAGATTTTGCCATTGAGCTACTTGGCGATATCATCCGAAAGAGGTTTACTCTTGCCGTGGGCCTAGGAATTTAGCATCATCGTTCCGCTGTTTATATTACAATTTACTATCGCTTTTGAATTTAAGCTGGAAATTAATGATTTAAATCGAAAAATAAGAATATTTTATAATAAGAATACTTATACGGCACACAATAACAATGAGGTTGTGCCTGAGGCTACTTTTTTTTATTTCTTCAATACGTTCTAATATTTCTATCGTTTTTATTGAAAATGTCTAATTTTATTCTGAATTTGACAATGCGAAAATCGTCTTTACTTTACAGAATGATTGCAAACTTATAAATAAATAAATAAACAAGATTATAAATAACTTTAAAAAATTTCTTACTTATTATTTATTATTTTAAACACACATAAATGGTAATCTTCTGTCGAGAAATTTCTCAACCTATAATTAAATTATTATTTATTAGAAGAAATTTCGTATTACTGTAAAACTTTGAATTCTTCAGCGAAAGCATGTGATATTCACAACTCCGCCTGAATTTCTTTATAAATTATATTTTCATCATTTTAAGCCTCAAACAAAAAATTGGTAAAACGATGGAGGAGTAGTCTTCGGATAAAATATAAAAATTAAATTCTGGTATTTCGTGCTCGAAAAATTTCTTTTTCCTTTTTCATACCATATCACTCGTTGAAAATATTAATTTATCAGCTGATATTAGGATTTTCCTTGGAAATTATAATGTGGACGATAATGATTTAACCAATCTGGACGATTTTTTTGTACAATGCAAGTGTTGCTAAACAAAGGCAGAAGGAACATAAGATAAAGATACTGTTTCTATTGTAATTGGTCTCGCGATGATCATATGAACGTTGCTGATTTTTACAGCAATCTTTTTGACTATACTTGATCACCAATGTGTTTTCATACAATTTCGCTAATTTATCGTTATTTGACATACTGTATCAATGCGATTTGGCTCTTTTTACCATAGAACAAAGAGAAATAAAAAATCGAGCCAAGGCAGTCGCCATATAAATTCATTTTTTACTATGATCGTTATACAAAATCACTTCAAATTGAAAATTAATCTTTTATTTTCTTTTTTCTTAAAGCAAATAATAGTTGCCTGTTTAATGCATAAAATTCGGCTATTTCTATCTTATAATGGTCTGCGCAATAATTTTGTTCTGTACAATTTGCAAAGTTATTTTTTCATTTTTCAAGTGCGTAAAAAAGTTATGTTCATTAAACAAGAGAAAAATGTCAGAAAAAAAGTTCTTTGGAAAGAAGTAATTAATAGCAGTAACCTTATATTACAAGCTTTTTTTGCAGATTTTTGCAACATATGTGATTTTAATGAATTACTGCTATATTTTTTTGGGATTGAGTCGTTTTTTCCAAAGATTCTATAGAAATCATTCAAATTTTTTCTTAGCAATGATTTAAATTTTATTTTCAAGCTTAGAATCTAATTATATGACATAAATTGTATTCATAATCATTTCCTCAGCTCCTCAATTTTTTAAATTTGTCTAAGTTTTTTCCAAAAGTTTAAGTTGCTTCCTTCAAAAAATCAGGAATTTTCTACTTTTTTTATTAAAGCGCTTATTGCTTTAAGAGAAAAAATGTTCGTCCAAGATCATTTCCATGACAATTTATTTTATGTAGACAACTCACTAAGAATTACCTGTTACGGCTCTTGAGAATGCTTTAAATTACTCTCAAATGCAGTAAAGGAATTATTAAAAAAAAACGCTAATTAATTGGAAAAAATCAGAAAATTTTTTTGATGACTTGGTATTTCAATTCTTTTATCCTATTAAGGATTTTCAGAAGTTATCTTATCATTTTTTTCATATGGTATTCAGTAAAATGAGTGAGAACAAACTAACTAGTTTAAACTTCTCCATTGTTCTTATGGTAAGCGCTTGGAAAGGCAAATTATAATGAGATTGCAAATCAAAATATTTTAATATCCTCATCATTATATCCTTTGATAAATTTTGCTGAATACGCTTGTCTTAAATATTTAGCTTTTTTTTTTTTAATAATGCAATTTTCCAGCCAAATGACAAGGCTGCTAGAAGAAAAGGATTATGATTTAGAAAGGTTTTTGAATACAGTTGATGTGCAGGTATTGTTTTCCTTATTTTTCGCTATATGGAAATATTTTTTTTCTTCATGGAATGAGAGAAAAACTTGCCATATCATAAAAAAACTGAAGGTGTTCTAACTGGCCATTGTTTAGAAATTACTCATCAGATTGGCGTTAAAAAAACATCCCAAAAGAAGGACCGACTGAAAAAAATGCTTGATTCATATATTAATTACGTGGCTAGGTTCATATTTATAGCCATAATCTAATCTTTGTTATTTGTTTTATACAAAAATTTTTTTAAAATTATGTAATCGATCTGTAATTTCTTATATTACTATTTATTTTACCTTTTTCTCATCAGATTTTCTTCACCAATTGTTGTATAAAGGTTTTTGCGTGATGTAATTGATAATTAAGCGAAATATAGCATGTTTGTTCAAATAAACGAATAATTTTATCACGAAAAAGAAAAATACCTCGTCATATTTGTACAGCAACAAATGAAGGATGGGTTGTAGTTTCAATTCGATGAGTCGATGGTTTTGTGCCAAGATGATAGCAAACGACAATAGATGATTGCTCATGTCCGTCTGACGCATGGCGAAAGCGGAGAGAAATATCTCAGTGGACAGTTGATTACTTTTAAGCATCGATTTTGTTGAGGCCTCACTCCAGGTAGGAGGCAAATCAGATCTTCAATAGTCCAACTGGTGCTGGCGACTGGATCTCATCTGCATTTCTATCACCAAATGATTCCCTAGCAAGATTTGTTTGATTCGACAAACCAGCGGAGCGAATTTCAATTCAACCAACGATGGTTCTCAGAAAAAAAAAGAACAATCGTACATGCATAAAAAGCATTTTGTCTTCTAATTTTTTCTGGAGTTTTGTTGACTATGTGCGATCGACTAATCCATTTCAATTAGATATTTTAAACTTCTCATTCCTATTAGATTTACTATACATCAGTTGTTGAATAAAAAAACTCATGCAGAGCGAATTAACTGTTATATCATACATCATTGATATTGATCGTTCTCGCAATTTCCTACGATATGAAGGAAAGTTGTTAGTTGCTAAACAACCAATCGCTTTTTTTTACGACACAATCTACTATAGAGTAGCCCGAGGTTGAACCACTCAAAACTGAATATTCGGTAGCTTCGCCGCTCCTCGGAAATCTTTTGATCTTTATATCCATGTACAATTCTATTACGTGTACCCAACTGGAGCTTATTGTCTGCTAAAATTATCATTTTTGGAATTTTGGTATATTTGGTATTTTTTTGCGAATCCATCGTTTGAAAACTTATTACTATTATTGCATAGCGGGGAACATGCCACAATGCCGTACATTTTCTTAAATTTCTTGTAGTATTTCAACTGAACTTGGCAGAACCGAAGGCAAAAAAAAGCCAACCCCAATATTAATCGTTTTCTACGGAGAGAGATATACTTCAGTATTCACACTTAAATAAGTCAGAAGATTGTTTGCGCAATAATAATAATAAAGAACGCTTTAATCTTTGAAAGACGGTCATATCAAATTTAATTTATTTGGAATATTTTTTAAATACTGTAGAATACATATTATAGAATGATTTAGAGTTTTATAAAAGCTTTTGAAAGAAAGTTTTGAAAGAAAGAATTTAGATATTCTGAATTGCCTATTTAATGATATTCCTTGCGAATAATAGTTATTTAATAATTATAGGATTGCCAATTACCGGGTACAATGGACCCAAAAAATGTTGGGATCGATCTGAAAACTCAGACCTCGAGCCAAAGTATAAATCTACAGGGAACACATCCCAGCTATCGAAGTTTCTTTTTTTCTGGACCAACTACTACTTATCAGAACCCGATGCATACCTTTTTTACTGGGTACCGCCCTATTATTTGTTTTTTGCTTGCTTTTACAGAAGTAATAAATCATGCATGACATTTTTTCATAATAATGGCTTTGAATTTTACGCAAATTATCTTCGCACTGCTATCATATCATTCGCACTTGTAGAATTATCATTGTAGGCATAGTTTATTATTTATCGCAGTTTCTAAATTTCCTTATAAATTGATTAGAATTTGTGGATTAAATTGGAAAACCAATTTGTGTCGCTAAAATCATTTTATATATCCCAACCCAAATTCATTTTACCAAATTTTTTGTAGAAGAAAATTAATTTTCAGTGCAAAAGAATAAGAATTATGAAATAATAAACGAAAAATAATGCCGGGAAGTATTTTTGACAGATCCATATTAATCTAAAATTGAGCAATAAAGCTTTCACGGGTGATTACTGTAGCATTGAGTCCAACATAGAAGAATACTGTATAGAGCTAAAGTAAATATAGAGCTAATAAATTGGAAGAAATTGGATTTGCTTCACATTTGACTTGGACCATCTCATCTTTGGTAATTGCATGCATAAGCACATATAATAGTCAATTTCAATTCTTTGCAGCGTGTATTATCATGCACCCTCAGGCCTAACTTAATGACAACTCGGTAAAATGATAAGTGAGCAGCTGAGAGTCCATTATTTATTTTAAAATTTATTTAAAGTTGCTGAAGGCAGCTGAATATTAGAAATTAAGTATGCCATTAGTTTTTTTTATCAATAAATTTTTTATCAGTGAAGGATAAAAGTTTCTAATAAAGGTTCGACTTTCCATGCGCCTCCTTTGGAACACAACAATCAGAATTAATATCGACAACATTTAATGCTCCAACTTTCAATGCACCATCTATTGTAGATACATCTCAGCATCACCACTCTTCAATGCATAACTTAAGTTGGTTTTAAACTTGCATTTTCAGTGATTTAATTAAATAAAGGGGCAATACATGGACCTTAATTAGCCAGATTTCAGGCCAACCTAGCAATCTTTTACAATTTCATTATGGGAACCTAAATGAGAATATACCTTCACAGAATCATTTAGATCAAAATGCAACAAGGTACGATTATAGACATCCTTCATTTCACCATCGTCGCTAAATTTTTTCTAGCTCTTTTTTGACCTTTTGTCGTTCAATTAATGTTTCCAGAATTTCCAGAATAGCAACAGGTGGAAGTTTCGACATTGTTCCATCAAATTTGCAAACTGGCCTCACTTCAGACGAAAAACTTTGCGCAGTGTGTTCGGATCGAGCAGTTTGCCAACATTATGGTGCACGCACTTGTGAAGGCTGCAAGGGATTTTTCAAGGCAATAATTTTTCAAAGAATTAATTCTAATTTCGCACTCACCTTGCTAGTGAAAAGGCGCGCAATTTGTATAATTCTATTATATAAATTTTAACGCTATAAAACACATTAGTCAGATAATTCTACCTTTATTTCATACGAGTGATGAGTGGTTCTCCGCGAATTCTAAAAATCTGACTTCAATAGTGCTGAAGTTCCATGAATTTTGTATTGGCTGTACTGTAAATTTAATTTATTATATATAAAATTCTGCTTAATTCTTCATTTTTTTCTCTTTGCTTTTGAAATTATTTGGACTTGTTTTTTAAAGCTAAGAGTTTAAAACTTCTTCAGCGAAAATAATCTTCTTTGAATAATCAGAATTCATCAAATTATTTTGCTATTTCGTATTTTGAATTTATAATATAATATAATAAGTTAATAATGATAAATATAATAAGTTAACAAGTTAATATAATAATACAATGGAATATATATATATATATATATATATTTCTACTGAATCATATGCGAATTACATTCATTTATTGCTGTAAATAAAAATTGTAAAATTAAACTTTAAATTATGAAAAAATATAAAAAATTAATACTTATTACATTAATAAATTAATTTTCAAGTTTTTCCATGAAATTAATAATCATATTATTTATTTAAATGATTTTAAATTTAAACTTTATATTTATCATTGATTTGATGATATATTTATTATTGATAATTAATAAAATCGCATGAAAAATCCAACTATATAATTTTTATATAATTTTATAATTTTTAATTACATAGTTGAAAAGTAACAAAATGAAATAGGAGAAAATTGGAAGAGCATATTTGCATGATTCAAAACAAAAATGAGTCATTATATGTAGGTAATCACTGTCATAATGTCATTCGTATTTTTTAATGCCCTTATCTTTTCTAAATTTTTTCATAACAAATCGTTAAGATAATAGATTTTAAAAAAATTTTAGAAATATTAATGATGCTTTTATTGATGTTTATGGCAATTAGAATCTTGGAAACGTTGTTATGAAAACTTCAAAGGTATTAAACTAGCGAATTTTGATGAAAATTTCAGAGGACCGTGCAAAAGAAAGCACAGTATATGTGCACCGGTAATAAAAATTGTACGATTGATAAACGCTTCCGTAGTCGGTGTCAGTATTGTAGGTATCAAAAGTGCCTGGCAGTTGGAATGGTGAAAGAAGGTAAATAAATGAAAAAACTCAATTTTTTAAATTGTTGCTTGTAAGTAAGTCATTCATTCACTTATTTTCTGATAAATTTAAATTAGAAGTTCAACCATTCTTTAAAAAAATTGCTACGAAAAAAATTAATTCTTATAACATAAATGTAGGTAGGAATTGCTCCTGAACAAGAAATTTCTAAAAAATTAATTCGATAAGCTAGAGGAAAATTGGAAATTTAATTTCAGTGGTTCGTTATGGTAGTCTTTCTGGTCGTCGAGGAAGACTTCCTTCAAAAACAAAATTGCTGCATTCAGATGATCCACCAAGTCCACCGCTTCCGCTTCTTACAATAATTAATAGAGCCTTCGCAGATTCGCGATCTACTACAGCTAGTTATACTTTCGTAAGAATTTTGAATTTTTTCCATGAAATTAATTATTTTAATGGTTTCCATCGCCAATTCGAATAATGCCGGCAAGTTTTTATAGTATGACGATTCTTGTATTCTATGTTTTAGAGTGGTTTGATCGAAGATTTACTTGAGTTTCTAGAAGAGGAGTTCAGATCGTTTTTGCGGTTCGTTGACAAGATTCCCAGGTATACTGATCTTCCACGTTCCGATATTTTGATGCTCACAGAAAAAAATTTCTTCGCCCTTCTTGCTTTAAAGCTAAGCAACAGGTACTTTTAAGATATTTGTTTCTTTACGCAATAGCATGTGGCTAATATTCTGTTCAACTGCTAGAAATCTGCTCTATCAATCTTTATCGAAGTAAGCCTTGTCATGAAGTGCAATTTGCTATTACGCATCCACTTTTACTTCTATTTCCAAGTGATTCTTTGAGGAAAGAAGTAATCTACGATAGTCAAGAGAACTAACTGAACTGGAAATGCTGCTGGAAAAAAGAAAAAGACGATAACATGAAATGATTCCTTTGCAATAATTTTTCATTTGTTTTTATTTAGGTGGACAAAAGAAAGGAAGCTTCGGCTAGATCAAGTCGAAATCGATGTTGATTCTGTCCCAGAACCCTTTAAAATACTATTTTCAAAAATTCTTCAAGATATTCCACAATTTCGAAGAGTGATAGAGCGCGATTCACTTGCCTTTGCAGCACTTCTTGCACTGCAGCTTCTAAATGCAGCAGGTTTGTAATTTGAACCCTGTAAAGAATTTGCCATCCATAGAACCTAGAAAATTTTTTCTCTCAATAGTTCATGGAGATTTAAAAATTAAATATTGGAAATCCAGTCACGATTTCTTCTGCAATGATGCTTCTAAAATGTCAATATATAATATATATATATATATATTGTCAGTCGTCATATGTTTTGTTAATAAAGGTGTAGAATAGCGAAGCTTTTCGCAGCGTAGATATTGCTCCCGGCAAGAAAAGTGCCCTTCTTTCAAAAATCCGCGTTGTGTTGGCGGCCCATCCACGCTTTTATCGTCAATTACCTAATAAATTACTAGATCCGAAAGGCTATCCAAGCAAGCTTAACGAGAAATAGTAAACGCTTTTCAAAAAAATTCGTAAGAAATCTTAAGTGAAATCCATGAAAAAGATAATTAATTCAGATATAGCACCATCATCATTGACGTCCGAAGCACCGATAGATAGGTTAAGAGGAACTATTACAAGTGCTCTGAAGGATCACTGTTGCTCCTCTTCATCACCGCAATCGAAAAAGCTTCAAACTACGATAGCTCAAGTATCAAACTTTTCTATTTTTTAAAATTAAGAAAGTTTAAATCGAATCGAATGGAAAAAAAAACAAATTAGCAAATTTTTAGCCTAGAAATGAAAGAATAAATAAAAATTTAATCTGTTCGAATGCTGCCAAGTTTCATATTTATTTCTGCATTTTACATGAGCGATTTGCAAAAATTAAATATAAACACAACAGAATTAGTGTGAAACTAAAGTGCTGAAGAAAAAATTGCAAGAGAAAGCTACTGGTCAGGAATAATCGAAAGCCATAGCCTTATAAAGACGACTGTAAGAAAAGTTGCATATCAACAGTAATTTGTTTTCACGTAGCACTGCATTTTCAATTGAAAGGCTTTCTCAAAGTCTTCTACGAAGTTTATTAAATTTATGATCAGATTACTGAAAATTTAAGTCTTAATTTAAGTCTTAATTTAAATCATAATAAGAACCTTTTAAATATATTTTTATGAAGAGAGAATAAGTACTGTTAAATTATTTGTGATTATTGTCAATTATTGTCAATTAGACTTGACAAGAGACAAAGATATTCGGTCAGAAAGAAAATCGAAAATTTTTAGTTCACGATAAGGCACGAAGTATGAAATATTTTAGATAATGTTTATATAGTATACAATCTTAGGACGTGCAATGTTCTTTTGTTGCGAAATTTCTTCTCGTGATTTTTGATTTGCCTAATTTTAATAATTTATTTTACCATATAATTTTGCCACCCTGTCATGTAATTTCTGATAGTGCTATTGTTCCGCTTGAAATTCCTTCATGCGTAATTTCCAAATAAATTTCCAAACAAATAAAAATAATACTCCATCCCATCATCTATTTTTCATCATTTATTTAGTCACTCAAACGAAATTAATCATTTTATTGCTGTTAGCAATATAATCATAATATTCATGCATTTTCCATAATTTATTTTTATCTTTTTAGAAATTAATGAACAAAATTTAATAATGAATTGCTATTCAATTAACATATTTATTTATTGTCTCTTAAAAATTAATGCTATTTAAATAATACAATGTAAATAATAAAAATAAGCAATAATAAGAATAGATTAAAAGGCAAAAAAATTATTGCATTGTTATAGGTTGAAATTTACTCAAAGTATGAACAAATCGGTCGAGAATCCCTGACAATTTGTTTAACATCCGGCAAGCGACTACCGAAGCTCGTTAGCGGTATTATTCGCGGTGTATCGCTTGAGCAGCATCAGACCACTTCCCTGAAGTCTATCTTTTCCAATAATTTTTTTCGCCATATTTAATTAATATTTTCGTTATTAAACTTCATTTTCAAATAAAATTTATTTTATGACTAATTTCTTCATATTTTTACAGTAAGGCATTTATCACTTTTTAGACTACAGAAGGATGCGCAATTTCAAGGAAAACCCTTTAATGCTTGGCAATGTTGAAATTTGTTCATTTTTATGGAAAACGAGCCGATTTTAAAAATCAACACGATTTGAAACAAATTAATTTGATTAAATCTTAATAAAAAAAATTTTATTAAATCGCTAGCTTCATGAAAGCTAATTACTAATGAGCGTTAAGAACTGCAAAAGGTCTGCGAACAGTAACAATCACAATATTTATCATATATGATGTACAAATATTTGGCATGAAACAGTTATGCATAATAAAAAAACTAAGTAAAGTGATTTTTTGAGAATTTAAAATGAAATTTTAAAATATCGAGTGGCAATCTTTTGAGGTGAATTGATTTACACATTATTACTTTTCTTTAACACAGAATTTTCGAATTTCTTTGATGAAAGGCTTTTTGAATATTCTGAAAAGCATAATTTTATATTTTATGTTTATAATGTTTCATTCAAAGAAAGGATCCAAATTTGCATTAAAAATTAAATTACCGCACACTAAAGCCAAGAAATTAAAGATTCGTTATATTTAGAATAATAATATAATAGTGTTTCAACAAAGAATATGCGTAAAATATTTTAAAATATTTTGCAATAGAAATAACCACATAAAAATTAAATATCTAAAATTTAATCAAATCATCGCAAAAATTTACAGAAATTATAAAGTCGCGCAATTTCTTCTATAATTTTTTTTTGAATGAGGATTTGCTAGGATTTTGTAGAACCAAACAAACTTTGCTAGAAGTTATTTAACAATGAAAAAAATACAGATCGCTAGGGTAACTTGATCTTTTGAAAGACAGACCTACGGGCAATCCTAGCTTTGACATAATGAAATAAGAATAATAATCCACTTAGTTCATGAATATAATAAATTTTTTATATTTTCTACTTTGCATTAATTTTAATATTTTTATTTTTCATACATTTTTTCATGCAGTAATATTTCATAGGTGTTGAATGAAACTTTTTTTACGAGAAAAGGAGCTTATCAAATCAAATTTCCAATAGAAAAATTTTAGAAAAAAAAACTTAAAATTTTGATCGGCATGCTGTAAAGTTTCGAAAAGATTTTGTAAAATCTCAATATGGGCAAAAAGCTTTTTCTCAATTTATATTTGGTCAATTATGAAATATTTTTATGGCAACCATATAAATTTCAGATGAAGTGGGCACGCATTTGCATTATTGCACCTACAAATAATCCATTGATCCATCCGAATTAATACAAGATCGAATTCTTTTAAAGTATTGATATTTGTTGGCCTTTTGGCATATTTTTATGCTCAAAAAGAATTTTTTCTGGGAACTCGCTATTTCTGATTAAGCTCACTCCACACCACTTACTCAGATTAAGCAAATTTCGCCAGATTCTATGAAAAACATGCTTGTTCCTATCGGAAGGCCCGGTATCAGCGCCCCAAAATGCACCAAATTTTATTCCAAATTTGTTTAGAAATTTTGAATTAATTTCATTTTCTTTTCTATAGTTATGCATTATCAATAGAATAGAATGCCAGTGCGTAATTAGTGAACGGTCGGTTCGTCCAACTGCTCTATTAAGATATAGAAAATAACTAAATAATCTATTATTATTATTCGATATTATTGATTGGTGATCGATTATTGCTTCATTTGGGCATCTCAAACGATAAGATTTTTTATTTTTTTAAATTTTTCTTCCACCTTACATTAATAAATAATATAAAATAATATGATATTATGTTTGTCTTCAACCGTAAACTTGTCATATGCGAGTGGCTGCTGAGGATCCATCTATAACCCCAAGTGACCCTATGGTAAAAAATAATGCTTTCGGCGTGTTCGCAAGCGAGGACAAATGATGCTCGGAAGCTATTAAGCGAAACAGCTTGCTACACGAGGTGTTAACCGTAACAACGTGGAACGTCAAAATGCTTACGGACAATCGCAAGCTAAGCGATCACTGTCCATACCCTTTCTAAATATCATATGGATATCACCTGATTGTCGGAGGTCCGTCTTCCTTACTTCCGGTCTCCAATATAAATAATTAATCGTGGCTCCGAACAGAAATACTGGCTATATCACTATGGTGCTTCGGACAACTTATGGTAAAATGGCGTAACGATTTTCATATCTGGAAAGGCAGATTCCGTTTTGATCGAGTGAAAACCGATAAGCGACCATGTGTCCTATTCCCGCTATAAAAGTAGGTTCCGTAACGTCTTCATCTTCAATGTCTATGCTCCAATTTTGTCCGAAGATGAGTGTGATAAAGATAAATTCTATGCGGAACTTCAGCTGCTAACAAAGTTTTTACTGAAATATGATATATCATAATCGAGGAAGATCGGAATATGCGCATGGGTAACAATGTTGCTCCGATGACCTCGACAATTGGCAAATATGGCGTCGGAGACCGGTGTGCCAGCGGAGAACGTCTTCTTATCTTTGTGGAACTGCATGAATTTCTTATTAGTAATACTTGCTTCCGGCATTGTAGATTTATTCACGTGGAACTTCCCGACAACATTCAACAACTAATATTCCAACCACATTGATTAATTTTGATCAGTCATCGTTGAAAGAGTTCCGTATTTAATAATCGTTCCTACCAAGGCGCTGAAACTGGTAACCTTCATGGATCATATCATATTATGGTTCCGACCATGATTTAAATAAAACTGACAACTGGCAAGAAACAATCTCTCAAGACCTTTCAACTATCTCAAACTAAAAGATTAGGGGACCGTAAGTGCATTTCAACTGATCAGATGTTCCCTCTAATAAGGGTTCTGGAATAGCTTTAAGTACTAGCAACCGACTGTCATATGTTTTATTGATTTTGCAGCTGACCTCGATTCAATTCAATTGATAGATCAGCACTTTAGATGGTAATGGAATGTGACGATGTCCATAAAAGATCATTCGCCTCATAAAGGCAACATCAGCATAGGTTTGTGTATATGGGGAACCCTTTTGAAATAAGAACCGACCAAGACGGTGTCCTTTCCTCTATAATATTCAACTATGCGATAGATAATGGGCTTTGCTTGT